AAAAAGCAAAATATGATAGAAATTTCTTTCGAGGCTCTTCTTCCTTCCCCCTTTTATTGAGCCTATTAATTAGCGCTGGCACGGTCAAAGCCCTCGACTATAAGACGGAAAGACTGCGGTGTTCGGCCTAGAGGGGACGGGGAGGTGGGGGCACTTTCTCTAGATCCTTTCTTCTAGTTCATTCAACTAACAGGTCTAACTTTGGTGAAACCTGTAAACTCGCGTAAAGCTGTGAAATGGTACAAGGGAGCAAGTTCACTTACGGGACTTTACAGGTCCTGACAAGGTGGCCTGTCCAAGCCTCGCAGAGTACCATTTAATGCCCCCACCTAGCCAATCTCTACCCAGAAGACCTTACCTGTACTGGTATTGATGGTATCTCTCAGCTCTGCATATCTCCATGTTGACAAGTCGTATTTTCCTTTCGGCTTGGTAGTCGAATCAATAGAAGAACCACCGGTTGACCTAAACGCGAGTAGCTGAAGGATACTAATGTTGACATGTTCAGCCCTCTTTTTCAGCGCTTCTGATCCAAACAAGGAGTACACAATGGGCACAAATGGCTTACATGCTCGTTGTGGGCGTGTCCATCATCGCTCCGCCTCCGTCGCGCGACAATCTCGTGGCGATCGCCGCGTCAAGACGTTCGCGTTCTGCTGCGGCTATTCTGCAACATATATGGCGCTTTGGAATGTTCTACTCGAAATATGAAAAAGCATCTCGACCACTCTGGCCACTCCAATTTGAGGGGCATTTTAAGAAAAAAAGAACAAACCTTCGTTCCTCTTCGATTCGTAACGCTTCAGCTTGTTGTGCCTCAGTGGCCATAGCGAGTTTGTATCGCTGCTCTTCCTTCTCACGTTCCTCAGCCAGTTGTTTGCGTCTAAAGAGTAAACACTAATTGGCGTGATAGAGTCGATTCACGTCAGGGACAAGTAGCGAGGCAGAATTTCTACAAGCGCTATCTCGCTATCAAGGATTTGCCTACGTCCAGCTGACCAGAACTGTAAGAAGAAGAACTTCCTTTTTTTTCCATAACTGCCACATT